AATTCATAGATACTAAACAAGGTAAGATTACATATAGTGAAAAGGGATGATCAGGAATGGGTTCCCTCACAAGCATACTAAAATAGTCTACAAATATCAAAGACAAAATACACAATGACAATAATATACCCAATGGCCTGAAGAATGTGTGTGTTCATTCAAATAACGGTTTTCCTATGAATTAACTAGAACACAGTCCATTTCTACTCTGCCTTTCCTTGGGACATGCAGGGATTTTCCCTGCTTTACATACTTTTGGCCAATAAACCCAGTGATATCAGCGTTGGTTGCCATGCAACAAAGAGGCCTGTTTCGGCTTCCTGGGGTGTTACGCATTCCGGGGGGAAGGGTTCATGGGTCCTCGTATTGCTTGTTAACTGAAGGGGGGTTACAGAGTATTTGTTAAATATAAAAACAAAATATATATTGTGTGTTTGATTGGTCCAGATGCTACACCACCTAACACAAAAACATGAAGATCAATAAACACTGACAGTCACTTCAGACCTTTTCTCTTTTTCTCTGTTCTTGGTTCTGAATCTTCTGTTACTGTGGTCTCTTCACAAATGTCTGACTCACCAGCAGCCAAAGAAACTCCCAGCTTGTGTTTTTGTACTTGTATAACCTTTACAAACTACCATCATTTGGAATATTTGACTTCTTCTATTAGGAAATGACAAAGACTGATATTCCATAAGTCTTTCATTTTTCACTTTACATTAACTAAAGCCATAGTGCAATTATTATTGATTATTGAGTGCTGTAATTTCAGGCTGCTAACAGTGAATCTGAAGGATGCTACTCAGGATAGACTTCACTAGCCTTCATAGTAGCACTTTATTTTACAGTACGTGTACTTCCCTGGTAAATACATGGCAAATGTCTTGTACCTGCAGGCAAATGAGTGGTAACACAAGGTACTTATCTGACGTGTATGTACATGGTAACAAATAAGAAACACGGCTGTACTTAACAGTCATGCATGGTAATTATTTTGTACATACAGACAAGTGTGGGTACTTACAGGTAGTGTCCATACATGGTAACTAATTAGATACTTTACTGTACTTACTAATGTATATACATGGTAAAAATTTAGTACTTATGGACAAGTGGGTACAAACAAGCATGTCCTTACAGTATCCATATATGGTAACTAATAATACACATTACTGTACATACTAATGATAAGTACATGGTAAATGTGTAGCACCTATGGAAAAATTTAGTATTATGTGGTAACAGACAAGACACATACTGTACTTGGTATATATGGTACGCTTGGTAAGTTCTAACCTTACCTAATAAAAAGAGGACTA